TATAGACAGTGATAGCTGTAGACAGGTAATATATATATACAGTGATAGCTGTAGACAGGTAATAGTTATAGACAGTGATAGCTGTAGACAGGTAATTATTATAGACAATGATAGCTGTAGACAGGTTATAGTTATAGACAGTGGTATCTGTAAACAGGTAATAGTTATAGATAGTGATAGCTGTAAACAGGTAATAGATAGAGACAGGTAATTGTTAAAGACAGTGACAGATGCAGACAGGAAATAGTTAAAGATTGTTGTAGCTGTAGACAGGTTAAGGCTCTAGATAGTGGTAGCGGTAGATAGGTTTTAGCTAAAGACACTGACAGCTGTAGACAGGTTATATTTATAGATAGTGGTAGCTGTAGGCAGGTAATAGTTATAGACACTGGTAGCTGTAGACATGTAATAGACATAAACAGTGACAGCTGTAAACAGGTTACAGTTATAAACAATAGTAGCAGAAGACAGGTAATAGGCATATGCAGTGGTATCTGTTGACAGGTAATAGTCATAAACAGTGGTAGCTGTAGACCGGTAATAGTTAAAGACAGTGATAGCTGTAGACAGGTAATAGTTATAGACAGTGGTAGCTGTAGACCTCTTATAGTTATAGACAGTGGTAGCTGTAGACATCTTATATTTATAGATAGTGATAGCTGTAGACAGGTAATAGTTAAAGACAGTGATAGCTGTAGACAGGTAATAGTTATAGACAGTGATAGCTGTAGACCGGTAAGAGTTAAAGACAGTGATAGCTGTAGACAGGTAATAGTTAAAGAGAGTGGTAGCTTTAGACAGGTAATAGTTATATACAGTGATAGCTGTAGACAGGTAATAGTTAAAGAAAGTGGTTGCTGTAGACAGGTTATAGCTATAGAAAGTGGTAGCTGTAGACAGGTAATAGTTATACACAGTGGTAGCTGTAAACGGGTAATAGGTATGGACAGTAGTAGCGGTAGACAGGTAATAGTTATAGACAGTGATAATGGGCTATAGACAGGTAATAGTTATAGACAGTGGCAGCTGTAGACATATACTGAGTAAAGACAGTGGTAGCTGTAAACAGGTTATAGCTTAAGACAGTAATAGATGTAGACAGGCAATGATTACAGAGTGTAGAAGCTGAAGAAAAGTGTCAGTTATCGACAGTGAAAGATGTAGACAGGTAAAAGTTTTATACAGTGTTAGATGTGGACAGGTAATATGGATGGTACTTTTAGCTGTAGACCGGTTATATTTATAGACAGTGGTAGCTGTAGAGAGATAATAGCCATATACATTGACAGCTGTAGACAGATAAGAGTTATAGACAGTGGTAGCAGTAGACAGGGATTAAGCATATACATTGGCAGCTGTAGAAAGATAATAGTTACCGACGGTGGCAGCTGTAGACAGATAATAGTTATAGACAGTGATAGCTGTAGATAGGTAATAGTTATAGACAGTGATCCCTGTAGACATGTAATGGTTATAGACAGTGTTAGTTGTGTAGACAGGTTATAGTTATAGACAGTGGTAGCTGTAGACAGGTAATATTTAAAGACAAAGATAGTTATAGACAGTGACAGATGTAGACAGGTATTAGCCATATACATTGACAGCTGTAGACAGGTAATAGTTTAAGACAGTGGTAGCTGTAGACAGGTAATAGTTAAAGAAAGTGGTTGCTGTAGGCAGGTTATAGCTATAGAAAGTGGTAGCTGTAGACAGGTAATAGTTATAGACAGTAATAGCGGTAGACAGGTAATAGTTATAGACAGTGATAGCTATAGATAGTGATAGCTGTAGACATGTAATGGTTATAGACAGTGTTAGCTGTAGACAGAAAATAGTTAAAGACAGTGGTAGCTGTAAACAGGTTATAGCTTAAGACAGTAATAGATGTAGACAGGCAATGATTACAGAGTGTAGAAGCTGAAGAAAAGTGTCAGTTATCGACAGTGAAAGATGTAGACAGGTAAAAGTTTTATACAGTGTTAGATGTGGACAGGTAATATGGATGGTACTGTTAGCTGTAGACCGGTTATATTTATAGACAGTGGTAGCTGTAGAGAGATAATAGCCATATACATTGACAGCTGTAGACAGGTAATAGTTTAAGACAGTGGTAGCTGAAGACAGGTAATAGGCATATAAGTGGTAGTAGCTACAGACAGGTTATAGCTATAAACAGTGATAGCTGTAGACATGTAATAGTGATACACAGTGGTAGCTGTAAACAGGCAGTAGGTATAGACAGGGGTAGCTGTAAACAGATAGTAGGTATAGACAGTAGTAGCGTTAGACAGGTAATAGATATATAAAGTGATAGCTGTAGACATGTAATAGTTATACACAGTGGTAGCTGTAAACAGGTAGTAGGGATAGACAGTGGTAGCTTTAAACAGGTAGTAGGTATAGACAGTGGTAGCTGTAAACAGGTAGTAGGTATAGACAGTGGTAGCTGTAAACAGATAGTAGGTATAGACAGTAGTAGCGGTAGACAGGTAATAGATATATAAAGTGATAGCTGTAGACATGTAATAGTGATACACAGTGGTAGCTGTAAACAGGTAGTAGTTAAAGACAGTGATAGCTGTAGACAGGCAATAGATAACGACAGTAGTAGCGGTAGACAGGTAATAGTTATAGACAGTGATAGCTGTAGACAGGTAAAATGTATATAGACAGTGGTAGCTGTAAACAGGTAGTAGGTATAGACAGTAGTAGCGGTAGACAGGTAATAGATATATAAAGTGATAGCTGTAGACATGTAATAGTTATAGACAGTGATAACTGTAGACAGGTAAAAGTTATAGACAGTGATAGCTGTAGACAGGTAATAGATAACGACAGTAGTAGCGGTAGACAGGTAATAGTTATAGATAGTGATAGCTGTAGACAGGTAATAGTTATAGACAGTGATAGCTGTAGACAGGTAATAGTTAAAGAGCGGGTAGTTGTAGAAAGGTAATATATATATACAGTGATAGCTGTAGACAGGTAATAGTTAAAGAAAGTGGTAGCTGTAGACAGGTTATAGTTATAGACATTGGTAGCTGTAGACAGGTAATATTTAAAGACAAAGATAGTTATAGACAGTGACAGTTGTAGACAGGTAATAGTTAAAGACAGTTTTACATGTAGCTGTAGTCAGGTTAAAGCTCTAGATAGTGGTAGCAGTAGACAGGTTATAGCCAAAGACAGTAACAGATGTAGACAGGTAATATTTATAAACAGTGGTAGCAGTTGACAGGTATGAGGCATATACAGTGGTATCTGTTGACATGTAATAGGCATAGACAGTGGTAGCTGTAGACAGGACATAGTTATAGACAGTGGTAGCTGTAGACAGGTAATAGTCATAAACAGTGACAGCTGTAGACAGGTTATATCTAAAGACAATGACAGCTGTAGACAGATAATAGTTATAGACAGTGACAGCTGTAGACAGGTAATAGTTATAAACAGTGGTAGCAGCAGACAGGTTATAGGCATATACAGTGGTATCTGTTGACAGGTAATAGGCACAGACAGTGGTAATTATTTCACAATAGTCTATATAAATTATAATTAGTCATTTTTGACTGTTTCTGGCCTTTTGTCCAATTTCGGCTGTAGGGGTGAAACAGTCAAAACTATTTTCTCGGTCAGAGCGAACTGTTACCCGGCGCGAATTCGATGCGCAGAAATTACCCCTCGAGAGCCCCGTTCAAGCGTTTCGGTGACCGCGACTCAGTGTTGAAGCAATGGCAACATTGCATGCAACATTGATACTAATATTTATTTGGTAATAAAACAATTGTTTAATGGTTATTTTGGGAACAGTCAAAACTATCATCCCTCGGTAGGGGGAATCCCTGTGGAACTGTTTGCCCTTGGCCTAGCGGCCTCGGGCAAACAGTTCCCCAGGGCTTCCCCCTACCTCGGGATGATAGTTGTGACTGTTCCCCAAATAGCCATGAACCAATTGTATTCTGTAGACAGGTCATAGTTATAGACAGTGGTAGTTATTACCCAATAGTCTATATAAATTATAATTAGACATTTTTGACTGTTTATGACTTTTTGTTCAATTTCGGCTGCAGGGGTGAAACAGTATACAGTTGTTTCATGCCTTATCAGTCAACAGTCAAAACTATTTTCCCTCGGAGTTGGGACCCACCAAATGAACTGTTTCCCGAGGCCGACGGCCTCGGTCAAACAGTTCCCCAGGGCTTCCCCCTACCTCGGGATGATAGTTTTGACTGTTCCCCAAATAGCCATGAAACAATTGTATACTGTAGACATGTAATAGTTATACACAGTGGTCGCTGAAGACTGGTAATAGCTATATAAAGTGCTAGCTGTAGACAGGTAAAAGTTGAAGACAGTGAAAGGTGTAGAGATGTAATAGTTAAAGCCAGTGGTAGCTGTAGACAGGTAATAGTTCAAGAGAGTTGTAACTGGAGACCGGTTAGAGCCGAAGACAGTGACAGCTGTAGACAGGTAATAGTTATAGACAGTGACAGCTGTAGACAGGTAATACACTGTAGTTATAGACAGTGATAGCTGTAGACAGGTAAAATGTATAGACAGTGATAGCTATAGACAGGTTATAGTTAAGACAGTGATAGCTGTAGACCGGTAATAGTTAAAGACAGTGATAGCTGTAGACAGGTAAAATGTATAGACAGTGTTACAATGTAGATGCAGACAGGTAATAGTTATAGACAATGTTGAATACAAACAGGTAATATGTATAGACAGTGTTAGCTGTAGACAGGTAATAGTTATAGACAGTGTTAGCTGTAGACAGGTAATAGTCATATATAGTGATAGCTGTTGATGGTCTGTAGCTGTAAACAAATAGTGTGTTTGATACAGGTTTTATTATAGAGTTTATAAAGAAAGGGTAAACAATACAGATGTTATTAACAAAATACTAAAATCTACATGGAATCAGTCAAATAATTTTTAATCTAAAATATAACCATTGATGGAAGAATAGATGAAGTCATTTGGGATGGTATACTTACTTTCTGGTTGTAAGACGGTGTCCCTCAAATGGTTCATTTCAGCTTGATCTACAATATCAGCTAAGTATGCCCCCATAGTCAGACATTGATCCTGAATGAAATACAACAATGACATATTTATTATATCACCGTTAATTCATATTCATGATATCTACACATTAAGTTCATCAGATTTCTTGTCATGAGTAAACAGCCAGTATAATATTAAGTGTCGCTTATTATTTTTATTATATCATTTTTATTACAAAATGTGTTGCTTTTACGCAAACATTGTTAATGCATGCATGAAAATATGATTGTAATATATGTACAGTGTGCATACAGGTCTAATCGTGGCTCATATGTTCTAAAAACAGAAAGAGAATAACAAAACCGTTTAAGACATCGAAACCCGTGAAATAGCACACAGAGAATAATAAGACCAGGTGTTCCAGGAGAGTAAGCATAATCTGCTTCAGCGATGACACCTATCAAATAAATGTAGGCCAATGTCACGTCTCACAATGAGAGCTTGGGTCCCATTAGTTTAACGAGTCGTTAACGCAAATTGAACAAACACATTTTGTTAAGAAATTTACAAAAACACTTTGTATTAAATGACATCAGATGATACGTTTTTATTAATCCAGATACGTTCTACTGTAATTTGGTTTCTGAAATATATGAATGTTTTAAGCTTAACGAGACAGAACAATTTTGACCATATCTTTGTCTTAGCGTCAACTATGCAGAGAAGTAAAGTTTCACGTTAATTAAGGTGAATACGTCTCAAATATTTATAAATATAGTATTTATTTGTATTTTGTTATCAATGAACTCATATTCATAATGTACTTACAGCAATTGTTTTCAAAATATCACGAAGTATGTATCTATATTTGTTTAAGGTTTTACATACTCTGGTTGCCATCCAATTCAGTGGATCAGCTGTCACTACGTAGCAGAAACCATTAAACAAGTGCCAGTTGGCTGGACAACCGTTCGCTCCATTGGCCAATGTACTGGTTGCTACCGTTTCTTTGAACAGAAATTTCAGAACTTTATGGATATTTATCGATGCAATATTCTAGGAAAAGGTATCAATGATGCATTCGATACCACTGTTCTAGTCCAATGAACTTGTTACTTCGTTAATGCTGTCTTGAGCTTAACAAATTTGATGACGTTGTCACTAGTAAATGTGGGAGGACAATTTGCCAGGATTACCGCCGTTTTATGACGTCATTATTAAGGGCGTAATAGGAAAATATTTTTCAATCATCATGTCATAATTTTTAGAAACAGATCATAGTATTCTATCTTTGTTCTCAAGGGCAATGTTAATACTAAGTCCTTGGCAAATTAGGACATGTAAATGTTTTCTAGTGATTCAATCATTACATGGAAACAGAATCCAGTTCGCAAACATTTATTATTAAAAGTGACTTTCAAGCGAACATATAATGCTTGTTGTGATTAAAAAATCAACTTTCAAATCCTTTGATTGAAAGAATTCTATTTTTAAAACCCAAATCGGGCTCATAGGATGTCAACAATAACTGAGGTGATATTTCACACACGCGCACTGAACGCAATAGATGTTATCGAAACTTTGTACGCCCTTGATCGTCCCGTGATCAAAGTCCGAGGGATCTATAAAGAACAATATAACGGCCAGTAGTATATTCACAGCGAACCAATACTTGTGACCATATCATACAATGAATCATACCTTCATTTTGAGTGCATTAAAGAAGTAGTGAGATTTAATCAACTACGTCTTAAGTTCCATGTAATAGAGATTAAGAGACTAAAGGCTAAGAGTCGTATTCCTTCTTTTCGTATTGCAACCAATACCGGCTCACAAGAGCAAATAACTCTGCAATACGAAAAGACGGAATAGATATAGACGATCGATCAACCTTATGTATTCTGAAAGTCAAAAATTATGAAACTATAAAATATGCCCGGTTCAATTAAATGAAGCATACCTTCATTTGAGGAGAGCTATTGATTCATTTACGTTTGAGGAATAGCAATCTTTTAAAGATAAAGTTATTGTGCTTAGCGAGTTATTATCGTACAGTTTTACAGAGATATATGTAAAATGCTGAATCTTAGACAATAAGTTTGGTAATGGCATTTAAGTGTATTCTCTATCTACGCCTCTAATTATATATTTGGACGTCAACTATAGCTCAGGAAATTAAAACCTGGGTTAGAAACAACCTCACACAATTTTTTGATATGATATATTTTATGGGAAAGAAATGAAGTGAACATTTGAACAATTATTTGTCCTTCACATTCAAAGAGGATTTATGTCACTTTTATGTATCTGATAAGTGTACATATACAGAATTCTTGTTTGTGATATAGTTTTAAGCGATGCTTTTAATCCAAACATGCATACTTACATATTAATATAATTACCTTTGTTTAGAGTATTTGTGTCAGATTCCACTTGATCTTGTGCAATCAGTGCACCAAACACGGCCGCCAGAACCGACCCTACATTGACGTTGTATGTTCTCAACACTGTAATATACTTGTTTGGTTAGCAACATTACAACAATAGCAATGCTATATAATCGATTAGTCTATCAACATCCAAGTATGAGTTTAGTGGAGGATGAACGTGAGACGTGTTCCTGACCATCACAGCATTTCTACCACTTTGGTGTCTCTGTTGTACTGAGACCCGCAAGCTGTCACAGTTCAGTGATCATGTTAAACTGTTAACATGGTATACATACATATAGTAAAATTATAAATTGTAAATAATGTTCCTTGTGTATACGGACACAAAATATATTATTATCTTGTTTAATTTAGTATAATATTTTTGAACTTTAACGTTCAAGGTCTTAATGTGAGAGGTAACCGGTCTAATCCGCTTCCCGATCACCTATTGCATATAAAGAAACAAATATGGGGGGACACTTTAAAAAGTTTTTTTTATAACCTGCATATTGTGACTGCGATGCAACTCCGAACTGTGTTCCCTTTGGCCCTTGGCATCTCACATAGGCGATACAGGCGAACGCTACACACACCGACAACAGCAGCTTTGTCGTCATTCTCCCTTAAAATCAACAAATAATGACAGTTATCTAAGAAACAATGGATCTGCCAAAAACAACACCGCCTTGCCATACAAATAATGCGATAGACATCGTCCAACGCATCGTTAAGAAGTTAACACTTTGGCAAAATGAGAAATGTTGGATATAAAAATCTTTATGTTTTATTAGGGCCCCGCAAAATGCGGGTGCCCATTAGTAATCACGGTGTCCGTCCGTCCGTCCGTCAGCACTTTCGTTTCCGGATAGTATCTCATGATCAAGATGGCCAAAATTTCAGAAATTTCATATGGTAATACAGTGTGATGTGCAAATGTGCAATAGGGGTTTTAAAAAGTCCCGAAGGTTAAGGTCAAGGTCACTGTTACAAAAAATAAAATCGGAAATATACTGTCAACAATATACCTTACAAAAGGCCAAACTTTCTGAAATTTCTTATGATGATAAATTGTGAATATATGCAGATGTGCAATAGAAGTTTAAAAAATACTAGGTCGAGGTCGCTGTTACTAAAGATAGAACCGGGAGTATACAGTTAAAAAGACATTAGAAAAGGGCGTTACAGAAAGCCAAATTTTCTGAAATTTCTTATGATTTGTAATTATTTGTCAATGAGCAAAAGTGATTGAAAAAATGTCCTTAGGTCAAGTTCAAACTTTTTGAAATTTCTTATTATGATACATTTTGCTTATAAGTAAATGTGCAATAGTGGTTTAAAAAAATCGTAGGTCATGGTCTCTGTTACTAAAAAAAGAACCTGGAATATACAATCAAATAAGGGCCTTACAGAAGGACAAAGTTTCTGAAATTTCTCATGATGATACACTGTAGTGCATTATTTGTTTAAAAAATCCTTAAGGTCAAGGTCGGTAAAAACAGAAAAAAGGAATATACTGTTGAAAATACATCGTATAAGGACCTTACAGAAGGCCAAATTTAAAGGTCCTCTCTGACCAGTCAATGGTCAGTTTTGCTGGTTACTTATACGGAAGATACACTGTCAGGCATACAGCGGGGCTCTTGCTGACCTGTCAGTATTCTATACGGGGTATACACTGTCAGGCATACAACGGGGCCCTTGCTGACCTGTCAGTATTCTATACGGGGGATACACCGTCAGGCATACAGCGGGGCCCTTGCTGACCTGTCAGTATTCTATACTGGAGCTACACTGTCAGGCATACAGCGGGGCCCTTGCTGACCTGTCAGTTGTCTATACGGGAGATACACTGTCAGGCATACAGCGGGGCCCTTGCTGACGTGTCAGTATTCTATACTGGAGATACACTGTCAGGCATACAGCGGGGCCCTTGCTGACCAGTCAGTATTCTATACGGAAGATTCACTGTCAGGCATACAGCGGGGCCCTTGCTGACCTGTCAGTGGTCTATACAGGAGATACACTGTCAGGCATACAGCGGGGCCCTTGCTGACCGGTCAGTATTCTATACTGGAGATACACTGTCAGGCATACAGCGGGGCCCTTGCTGACGTGTCAGTATTCTATACTGGAGATACACTGTCAGGCATACAGCGGGGCCCTTGCTGACGTGTCAGTATTCTATACTGGAGATACACTGTCAGGCATACAGCGGGGCCCTTGTTGACCTGTCAGTATTCTATACGGGAGATACACTGTCAGGCATACAGCGGGGCCCGTGCTGACCTGTCAGTGGTCTATACAGGAGATACACTGTGAGGCATACAGCGGGGCCCTTGCTGACCAGTCAGTATTCTATACGGGGGATACAGCGTCAGGCATACAGCGGGGCCCTTGCTGACCTCTCAGTATTCTAGTCTGCTGTACTCATTATCCTTACACACAGATTATGTGTACATGTCATATATCAGAGTTTAACAAGTTCAGCGTCAAAAACCTTGTTGACATTGATAGGATATATTCGAATGTTTAATCTGCGAAGTTTTATCCACAAATTTCTGATAATTTTATTTACACCTGAAACGTTTCTATAAAAATACCCAAGGATCATCCATGTCGTATGCCTCTGTCTATGGATTTTCTCAGGCACAGTGTATAAGGAAGGGTTACTTTCAACATGTTAGTATTTTTTCACAACAAAACTAGGACACTCTTCCCATACATTTTCAATTTTCCTAAAGATGAAATACTAGCTAATACACCTTGCTTCTGTATCACAATATTTCCGAATGCCTGTTAGCGATAATAATACGGACCTTCCTTGTTTGTATTGGTTTCTAAAACTTCACAAAAATCCCTTTAATGTCCCGATGACAAAAATCATGTTTTCAAGGAAATATATTATTCCTGTTTCCGATCGGAGAAACAGTTGCTGTGAACTACATGAACTATGTTTCTCCCATAATAAATTATGTATTATAATTAGATGTGCAGGTATGGGGTGGGGGATATACAAATTGTCGTTGGGGATAGGCCCAACCACTTTTGTATATCTCTTACCCTGTTGGGGTACATGGTATTATATATATATATGGAAATTATAGTCCTGCTACAAATAAAATTTTATCAAGCATAATTGTTTTTACAAAAACTGGTTAACAACATCACATGTTTGAAGATAGTTTTATAAAAGTAAATAGTGTGATTGTTCTTTTAACGTGTCTAATAAGTCATTTTGGCTAGACACATTTTATATTGAAAGGTATATATGTATTGTGATTTTATGAATACTATGTGTTTGACACGAAAATGAAATATTTGAACTTTTGAACTTGCATAAAGTCACAATAGTAGATGACGTCGTAAAGCATTGTTAATTGACGTCATTAATAGAAGATTGACCAAATCACGTCCACTAGGGGTGACCACAAATGTTAATGAACACCCACTCTAACTAAACAAGAACACTCTAAATAGTGATTCCTCTATACATTGTATTAATACTATGAAGTCTGTCGATAAACATCATATTTGAGTGTGTTCCTCCCTGACCTTGGTTACTTCCACAAAGAACCTTATTTTTGATACAACTCTTAGTTATATTGAATAATTGGTAAAAGTATAAAGAATAAAAGAACCTTTTAATTGAGAATATAATTTGTTAACTATTTTACCTAACTGTTAAATTAAGTTGAACGGCCTCTTCTATGTTAATTACTTTACATGTATATATATCAGTTACAGAAAGATGGCTTCTTCTGTGTTTATTGCTTTACATGTATATATCAGTTACAGAAAGACGGCCTCTTCTGTGTCAATTACTTTACATGTATATATCAGTTACAGAAAGATGGCTTCTTCGGTGTTAATTATTCTACATGTATATATATCAGTTACAGAAGTACAACCGCTTCTGTGTTAATTGCTTTACATGTATATATCAGTTACAGGAAGATGGCTTCTTCGGTGTTAATTATTCTACATGTATATATATCAGTTACAGAAACACAACCGCTTCTGTGTTAATTGCTTTACATGTATATATCAGTTACAGAGAGATGGCTTCTTCGGTGTTAATTATTATACATGTATATATATCAGTTACAGAAAGACGGCCTCTTCTGTAGTAATTACTTTACATGTATATACCAGTTACAGAAAGACGGCCTCTTCTGTGTCAATTACTTTACATGTATATATATCAGTTACAGAAATACAACCGCTTCTGTGTTAATTGCTTTACATGTATATATCAGTTACAGAAATACGGCCTCTTCTGTGCTATTTACTTTACATGTATATATATCAGTTACAGAAATACAGCCTCTTCTATGTTTATTACTTTACATGTATACAATATCAGTTACAGAAAGACCGACTCCTGTGTTAATTACTTTACATGTGTATATATATCAGTTACAGAAAGAGGACCTCTTCTGTGTTTATCACTTTACATGTATAAAATATCAGTTACAGAAAGACCGCCTCCTGTGTTAATTTCTTTACATGTATATATCAGTTACAGAAATACTGCCTCTTCTGTGCTAATTACTTTACATGTATATATCAGTTACAGAAATTCGGCCTCTTCTGTGCTAATTACTTTACATGTATATATCAGTTACAGAAATACAGCCTCTTTTGTGTTAATTACTTTACATGTATACCATATCAGTTACAGAAAGACCGCCTCCTGTGTTAATTTCTTTACATGTATATATATCAGTTACAGGAAGACGACCTCTTCTGTGTTTATCACTTTACATGTATACAATATCAGTTACAGAAATACAGCCTCTTTTGTGTTAATTACTTTACATGTATACAATATCAGTTACAGAAAGAACGCCTCCTGTGTTAATTACTTTACATGTGTATATATCAGTTACAGAAAGACGGCCTCTTCTGTGGCAATTACTTAACATGCAGATATCAGTTACAGAAAGACTGCCTCTGCTGTGTTAATTACTTTACATGTGTATATATCAGTTACAGAAATACAGCCTCTTCTGTGTCAATTCCTTTACATGTATATATATCAGTTACAAAAAGACGACCTCTTCTGTGTTTATCACTTTACATGTATAAAATATCAGTTACAGAAAGACCGCCTCCTGTGTTAATTTCTTTACATGTATATATATCAGTTACATAAAGACGACCTCTTCTGTGTTTATCACTTTACATGTATACAATATCAGTTACAGAAAGAACGCCTCCTGTGTTAATTACTTTACATGTGTATATATCAGTTACAGAAAGACGACCTCTTCTGTCTTTATTCCTTTACATGTATATATCCGTTACAGAAAGATGGCTTCTTCTGTGTTTATTGCTTTACATGTATATATCAGTTACAGAAAGACGGCCTCTTCTGGGTTTATTACTTTACATGTATATATCAGTTACAGAAAGACGGCCTCTTCTGGGTTTATTACTTTACATGTATATATCAGTTACAGAAATTCGGCCTCTTCTGTGCTAATTACTTTACATGTATATATCAGTTACAGAAAGACGGCCTCTTCTGTGGCAATTACTTAACATGCAGATATCAGTTACAGAAAGACTGCCTCTGCTGTGTTAATTACTTTACATGTATATATATATCAGTTACAGAAAGACGACCTCTTCTGTGTTTATTACTTTACATGTATATATCAGTTACAGAAAGATGGCTTCTTCTGTGTTTATTGCTTTACATGTATATATCAGTTACAGAAAGACGGCCTCTTCTGTGTTAATTACTTTACATGTATATGTATATATCAATTACAGAAATATTGAAGCTGTGGAAAATTAGCTGATGTTGAGCTGTGTGCAATAAAAGGCATAATTGAGATACAAATAACCAGTAGATGAATTCATCAAGAGAATCTATTTACGATCGTTTTGATAACGGGTTACTTACACAGGAATATATAATTTGAATTTATGTCATAATCAGATTTGTAAATTTCTTTTCTATTTAAACTTAACATTTTTATCAAATACCAAATTAACACCATCAGGTTAAATCTAGGAAAACCTGAAAAATTCAGTTAGAAACATTTAACTGATCATTGAATTTGAAATGTCATAAAAACAAAGTTAAAAAATTGGGCAAAACTTATTCTTAAAGAAGAACCTAATATCAATGAGGTAAAACTTCAAACAAATGAATCCAAGGGGATGTTATATGATGCCAGAATATGAACTTATTCGGCTATGATGTTAAGTTGATGTCTATCTACATATATTTACATTTCTACTGAACTTGGACTCAATATACTACTTAACATTATCAAGGTTATTTTTCAATGAACTTTTCGGTTGGCGTATGAGTACATCAGCATATTATCAACCTGATTATTCTGTTATTTCGCGGAGCGCGGGAAGTAGTTCCACTCATAGATTGTTTTCAATTTATATTTTTTTTGTCAGAAGTATTCAATTGAATTCAAATAATAATTTACATCTTATTTTGCTTATTCATCTTACCAGGACGACGTCTCACAGTGAGTGATGACGTCATACGTTTTAATACCTTCCGTGGTGTTAGACTTGCACAAGACCGATATTTTAGAAATTATCCGAAAAAACATCATCGCTCTGAATGTAAATATAAGGATAGAATCCCATTTTGTTGACGTTTATGAGGTATAAACCTCAATTGGCCTTGAGACAAATTCAAAATGAACTGCTTCGCAGTTCATAAAATTTGTCTCAAGACCCATTGAGGTTTATACCCCATAAACCTCAACAAAACAGAATTCAATCCTTAATTGAGTATTGTAGGAGTCAAGCCGACTCTTGGAGATGTTTAGTGCTATTATCAGTATAATGAAGGGGAAGTACATCAATCAACTTTCACTGACAAAGTCACAAAATATTATTTCATGTAAATTAATAGCATCAAACATAATTCCACATAACAAAATATTTTAACAGCTTACCTTTAAAGTGACGAGGTGCGTATCTCGAGGTTACATACACAGTGAAGTCAGGGCCGTCCTTTGGTAACTGATGGGCGTCATTCATCATATCTTGGTGGAGCCCTGGGTATCAAGGTGGGCCAAATTTACATACATGGACAGTTAGTACCAGCAATAGCTCTTTACCCTTTTGAACACAAGATTTCGATTATCAAATGCTGTATAATTTAAGGAATGCCCAAGATTTCGTTTTGGTATATACGGTATATACCGAAAAGAAATTGTGCACTTTGTGCACAAAAAAACAACCTGCGTTTTCTATCATTCTCATTAATGAATTCAGTATCAAATAAAACTTATTTCATCCCATCATACAACATCTGATCAAACGGCATCATTCTCTATTCCTACTCGCACACATCAGCACTCATTTAATAAGTGTATGTTGTTCTAATTTATATATCCTCAGCAGCAACATCAGCACTCATATAATAAGTGTATGTTGTTCTAATTTATATATCCTCAGTAGTAACATCAGCACTTATTTATAAGTTTATCTTGTTCTAATTTATACATCCTCCGCAGCAACATCAGCACTCATTTAATAAGTGTATGTTGTTCTAATTTATATATCCTCAGTAGTAACATCAGCACTCATTTATAAGTTTATCTTGTTCTAATTTATACATCCTCAGCAGCAACATCAGCACTCATTTAATAAGTGTATGTTGTTCTAATTTATACATCCTCAATAGTAACATCAGCACTCGGTTATCAGTGTATATTGTTCTAATTTA